AAACTCAAGACCAGGGGCAAAATTAGAAAGCAGAGGGAGGGAGAAAGGAGAAGGGGAGAGACTAGAAGAAAAGAAAGAAGGAAATGTGGTCATGTTTTACATTGGTTTTTGTTTTGTTTTGTTTTGTTTTTGAGAGAGAGACAGAGTTTCACTCTTGTTGCCCAGGCTGGAGTGCAATGGTGCGATCTTGGCTCACTGCAACCTCTGCCTCCCTGGGTCAAACAATTATCCTGCCTCAGCCTCCTGAGTGGCTGGGATTACAGGCACCCGCCACCACGCCTAGCTAATTTTTTGTATTTTTAGTAGAGGCAGAGTTTCTCCATGTTGGCCAGGCTGGTCTGGAACTCCTGACCTAGGTAATTGAGGCTTCCCAAAGTGCTGGGATTACAGGTCTCATGAGCCATCGCGTCCAGCCCTACATTGGGATTATTAGGCAACTGTGCCTCAGTGTGCATGAGTTCCAGATCTTGTACAAAGAACATGTTTTCATAGGAAGGGTATGGAGGGGCCTGAAGCAGACATGGAGGTGACAACTGAAGCACTTCCCCCGTCCCCTTTTTTGAGACAGCGTCTGCTCTGTCACCCAGACTGTAGTGCAGTGGCGTGATCTCAGCTCACTGCAACCTCCACCTCCTGAGTTCAAGCAATTCTCCTGCCTCAGCCTCCTGAGTACTTGGGATTACAGGCTTCCGCCTCCACGCCTCGCTAATTTTTTGTATTTTTAGTAGAGATGGGGTTTCACCATGTTGGCCAGGTTGGTCGCAATCTCCTGGCCTCAAGTGATCTGCCTGCCTCAGCCTCCCAAAGTGCTGGGATTATAGACGTGAGCCACCGCGTCCGGCCCTAAATCCAGCTCATTTTAAACATTGGTTTCAATGATAGTCACCCTATGATGGAGCATCCTGCCCCTCCCCGACAACTCCCTTACACCACTGAGCCTCCCCTACCCCAGGTGCCTGCAAGCCCCTCAGAGACCAAGGCTGTGTGCCAGGGCTTTTCTCTCGCAGAACATCCTTGATAGTCAAATCTAGACAACAGTCGCCAGAATGGCCTCTGTATTCCCAGCAGTTTGGCAGTGGGAAAGCCAGCTTTTGGCTTCCAGACAGGAAAAGCAAGGTGGGCTGACCACACACAGCCTGCACCTCAGTGACCCTCTGGCCAGAGGCTGCCTTGGGATTCTTCGGGAAGAGTTAGACCTGGTTCCCAGCAGCAACACCTTGGGAGGTTAAAAAATACAGATGACTGGGTCTCTACCCCTACCCAGTAGTAGGATCCAGGGATCCTTATTTCTAACAAACTCCCCTGATGATTCTAACACATGTCAAGGCTGGAAACAACCAATTCATTTCTTTGGGCCTCAGTTTCCTCATCCAACTTAAAACACATACAGGAGTCGGCTGGGCGCGGTGGCTCAAGCCTGTAATCCCAGCACTTTGGGAGGCCGAGACGGGCGGATCACGAGGTCAGGAGATCGAGACCATCCTGGCTAACCCGGTGAAACCCCGTCTCTACTAAAAAAATACAAAAAACTAGCCGGGCGAGGTGGCGGGCGCCTGTAGTCCCAGCTACTCAGGAGGCTGAGGCAGGAGAATGGCGTGAACCCGGGAGGCGGAGCTTGCAGTGAGCTGAGATCGGGCCACTGCACTCCAGCCTGGGCGACAGAGCGAGACTCCGTCTCAAGAAAAAAAAAACAAACTCATACAGGAGTCTAGAAAATCTCCTTCAAGCCTCACGATCATCTACAAAATGCCATTATTCCCATTTTTGAGATGGGAAGAATGGAGGTTTATAGAGGCAAAGGGATGAAGGGGTGGGCCACACGGTCATTAGTCTTTTTTGGCGCTGGGGTTTGAAGAACCTAAGATGATCTAAGGAAGGCAGCTGAATCCGCCTTCCAAACCCCGGGGCTGGACTCAGGCTCTCACACATCCAGGAGAGTCATTTCTAGGCACACTTTCTCAGGTGACTCATCAGCGCCAAGGCAGGCCTGTGTGTCCAAGCGACTGCACAGGCAGAAGCGAGGCTCTCTCCCCTAACCGGAACGCTTACCGTGCCCCTAGCAAACTCCCAGCTCCTGCCTGACAAGTTACTGCCTAACCCGTGACTTATTTTGGGAATCCCTGACGCATTTCTTTACTGTCCCTCATTTCAGAGCACATCATGCCAGCAGGGCTTGGAGGTGGGATGAGCTGGGAAACTGACCAACAGTTCAGTCAGACTGAGTCACTTCAAGGAGGGGAGTGGAGACAGCAGTGGGTGCCAGATGACACGGAGCTGTCGGCTTCCGTGTGCGTTTTCTTTTGACAGCAGCCATAGGGAAGTTGTCAGCCAGGCAGCCTCCTAATGGGATTTTTCATTTAAGAAAAATCACTCTGCTCGTGCACTGATGGAGAAATGAACTACAAGAAGCAAGCCCTGAGGTCTGGAGACAGGAAGCTACTGAAATCACCCAGGTGAGAGGCAATTACCGCCTAGACTCAGCTGAGGCGTGGGGAAGAGATTGGAGGGGTGACGGGCTCTGGGGGCTGATTAGATGCTGGGATGATGGGAGACGAGTCACCATGGGCTGAGGTGGCTGATTGGATGCTGGAGTGACAGGGAGGAGTTACCATGGGCTGTGGTGGCTGATTGGATGGTAGAGTGGTGGGGGAGGAGTCCAGTCTGTCCCCAGTGTTGTGGCTTGAGCGTCTTGAGTGATTGATTGTGTCCTTCATGAGGATGGGGAACAGGGGCGGAAATGGACCCTGTTATCTTCAGATTCACACCCTCCACGCCTGGCACATAGCAGGCCATCTGTTAAGGTACGGAGGTACTAAGTTGTCCTCTTGAGTGATACACTTTCTTTTGTTATGGTGGGAGAGTATCTGGTGCTCTGGTACCAGATACAGGTGTACTATCCAGAATACACATACACAAGGAACTTATTTATTTATTTATTTATTTATTTATTTATTTAGAGACGGAGTCTCACTCTGTCGTCCAGGCTGGAGTGCAGTGGCGCGATCTGTGCTCACTGCAAGCTCCACCTCCCGGGTTCACACCATTCTCCTGCCTCAGCCTCCCAACTAGCTGGGACTACAGGTGCCCGCCACCATGCTCAGCTAATTTTTTTTTGTATTTTTAGTAGAGATGGGGTTTCACTGTGTTAGCCAGGATGGTCTCCATCTCCTGACTGTGATCCACCCGCCTCGGCCTCCCAAAGTGCTGGGATTACAGGCTTGAGCCACCACGCCTGGCCTACACAAGGAACTCTTACAACTCAACACTAAAAAATGGGTAAAGGACTTGAACAGACATTTCTCCGAAGATATACAGATGGCCAGCCACAATGAGGTACCACTTCACACTCACTAGGAGGGCTATAAGAAGATGGACAATAACAAATGTTGGTAAGGATGTGGAGACATTGGAGTCCTCAAACATTTCTAGATGGAATGTACTACAGTGCAGTCACTTTGGAAAACAGCTTGGCAGTTCCTCAAAAAGTTAATCATGGGATTACCACCTGATCCAACAAGTCCATCCCCTGGTATATACCTGGAAAAATGGTAAACACCTGTTCACACAAAAACTTGTACAAGGATGTTCATAGCTGAATTTTTTTTTTTTTTTTTTTTTTAGTGCAGTGGCACCATCACAGCTCACTGCAGCCTCCCCCAGGCTCAAGCAATCCTCCCACCTCAGCCTCCCAAGTAGCTGGGACTACAAGTGTGCACCACCATGTCCATCTAAATTTTTCATTTTTTATAGAGACAGGGTTTTGCCATGTTGCCCAAACTGGTGTCAAACTCCTGGGCTCAAACAACCCTCCCACCTCAGCCTCCCAAAGTTCTGGGATTACAGGTTTGAGCTACTGTACCTGGCCACAGCTGCACTGTTCTTTTTTTTTTTTTTTGTCTTAAGACAGAGTTTTGCTCTTGTTGTCCAGGCTAGAGTGCAATGGTGCGATCTCGGCTCACTGCAGCCTCTGCCTCCCAGGTTCCAGTGATTCTCCTGCCTCAGCCTCCCAAGTAGCTGGGATTACAGGCATGTGCCACGACGCCCAGCTTATTTTGTATTTTTAGTAAAGACGAGGTTTCATCATGTTGGTCAGGCTGGTTTCAAACTCCTGACTTCAGGTGATCCACCCACCTCGGCTTCCCAGAGTGCTGGGATTTCAGGCATGAGCCACCATGCTGGGCCAGCTGCATTATTCTAATTTTTATTTTTTATTTTTATTTTTTGAGGCAGAATCTCGCTCTGCTATCCAGGCTGGAGTGCAGTGGTGCAATCTCGGTTCACTGCGACCTCCGCCTCCCGGGTTCAAGTGATTCTCCTGCCTCAGCCTCCCGAGTAACTGGGATTACAGGTGCCTGCCACCACGCCTGGCTAATTTTATATTTTTAGTAGAGACGAGGTTTCACAATGTTGGCCAGGCTGGTTTCGAACTCCTGACTTCAGGTGATCTGCCCACCTTGGCTTCCCAGAGTGCTGGGATTATAGGCACAAGCCACCATGCCGGACCAACTGCATTCTTCTTCTTCTTTTTTTTTTTTTTTTTTTTTCCTGAGGTGGAATCTCGCTCTGCTACCCAGACTGGAGTGTAGTGGTGCAATCTTGGTGCACTGTGACCTCTGTCTCCCGGGTTCAAGAGATTCTCCTGCCTCGCCTCATGAGTAGCTGGTATTACAGGCACCTGCCGCCATGCCCGGCTAATTTTTATATATTTAGTAGATACGAGGTTTCACCATGTTGGCAAAGCTGATCTCAAACCCCTGACCTCAGGTGATCTGTCTGACTCGGCCTCCCAAAGTGCTGGGATTTCAGGTGTGAGCCACTGCGCCCGGCCTGTTCTTAACAGCTGGTAGATATAACCCAAATGTCCATCAACTCATGAAGGGATACACAAATTGTGGAATATTCACACAATGGAATATTATTCAGCCATTAAAAGGAAGGAAGTAGAGACACATGCTACAACATGGGTAAAACTAGAAAAGTTTTAATGCCAAGTGAAAGAAGACAGTCACAAAAGACAGCAAATTATAGAACTCCATTCATATGAAAGTTCAGATTCATGGTTGCCAAGAGATGGGAAAGGGGGGGAATTAGGAGTTATGGAGTTGTGTTTTGGAATGATGGGAATGTTCCAAAAACTGATAGTGGTGACGGTTGCACAACATTGTGAATATACTAAAACCACTGAATTTCATACTTTAAAGTGGTTTAAATGGTAGATTCTATATTTTGTGAATTTTAGCTCATAAAAAAAAAACAATTCTTTTAAAAGAAAAGAAAAAGGAACCACTCCCTCTGGGCAGGTGTGGCTTTGCAGGCACATGGCTTAGTAAACAAAGGGCAAACAAAGGATTTCAGTCCCTTTTGGCCTAGTGCTCATGTGCAGTGAACGACCTGCACAGCTGTTCTTAGTTGCCCTGTGATGGGACATAAAAGCTTCTGCCCACATCTGGACCTCTATCCGCCCCATCTGACAGAGAGAAGTAGTGAAGATTGAATGCATTTGCTGAGGCTGGATGAAACCCCGCCTCTCCCCCAGGGAGAACTAAATCACAGGAATGATTTGCACCCAAGAAGCAAAACAAGCGCCTTCTTCCCACCTTAGGCATGGCAGTTGACTTTGGCCCTAATACCAAGACCTCTCATTCTGCACACACCCTCCAGCTGCAATTCCACCTAACACACCAAGCCTCTTCCACATGCCCAGGCTTGTTCATTCTTTCCACTCCAGCTATGTTCTCCTCTTTGCCCTCGTACACCCCGGGAGCCTCCTAGGGACTCACTCTGTTTCCTCTCAGCCCCTCCCAGGCACGATCCTCCCCACCAAGCCACTTCCCCATTCTCAGAACTCTGCTCCCGGGTAACCTCTTCCTGGAACCTCCCTCAGAGGAGCTCTGCCTACCACCTGTTGTACCCTTAGCACTTGTAAAAACACCCAGTTGCTGGGTTTTACCTGAGCTCTGCCACTTCTAGGCTGCTTGGCTCTGCAAGAATCACACAACTTCCCTGGCCTCAGTGTCCCCATCTGTCAAGCGTACAGGGCCATGCTTACCTGCCAGGTGGGATTTCATGGAATTAGGGATGTGTAAGGCTTTGTAAGTACAAAGTGCCGAGCCCTTAAGATGGGTTGCTGCTTTTCATCATTACTGTACAGGCCTATGTGTGTTTCTGTGCAGAGAAATACCACCCATTATGCATAAGCATCTGAACTTTCTCCCCTTGATTAAGCAAGTACTCAAGGGCAGGGAAGGTGTTTGCTGCCTTTGGAGTGTACCCTCTGTCACCCCAAGCTATGAGGCCCAAGCAGAAGCCAGAATCCAAAATTCCTCTCCCTTTCCTGGGATCCTAGAGCCATATTTTGCCTAGAGTCATAGGTTTTTGAGCTTCTGTCTCTCAGATCTGACCATAAAATCCTTAAGGTCAGGAACTCTGCACTTCACTCATTCTGAACCTCAGTTTCTTTGTCTGTAAAATGGGGATAATAAAAGTATCTATCTCACAGCATTACTGGAAGGGTTAAATGAAAAATCACACACTATGCTCCCAATAAACATCAGTAATGAATACAAGGGTGATGTATTCATTATCTATTGCTGCATAATGAATCTCCCCGACATGTAGTGGCTTAAAACAACATTAATAATTTACTATCTTTCATAATTTCAGGGGTCAGGATTTCAGGAGCAGCTTAGCTGGGCGGTTTTGACCTGCTGTCTCTCATGAGGCCGAGGCTTCAGTCATCTGAAGGCTTGACTTGGCTGGAGGATCCACTTCCAAGTAGTTCACTCACATGTCCCAAGTTGATGCTGGCTGTTGGTGGGAGGCACTGGTTCTCCTTCAAATGAGCCTCTCCACAGAGCTTCTTGAGTGTCCTCACAACATGGCAGCTGGCTTTCCCCAGTAGGTGATATAAGAGACCAAAGTGGAAGCCACACTATCTTTCATGATCTAGATTCAGAAATCACATACTGTCACTTCTGCAGTATTCTATTGGTCATGCAAATCAGCCCTAATTCAGTGTAGGTTACCCAAGAACATGAATACCAGAAAGTCTCAGGGCCATCCTGGACACAAGCTATCACAGATGATGCCGTGTACATTCTTCATGTGTGATCACGTGTAGGGCAACTAGAAAGTGACATAGCCAAGATCTGAATTCATGCCTGCCTAGCTCCTGTTTCCTGCTCTTAACCACTGCCCTGTGTTGGCAGTTGAAAGCAAATCTTACTCTTTCGACAAGCCTTGTCTGAGCACCAATTGTACTAGATATGCCCTCTGCTCTCAGGGAGCCCTTGGTCTACAAGCTATGTGGGTGGCAGAGCTAGATCAGGTCTCAAGTTCCCTGGCTTCTAGTTCACTGCTCTTTCTACCCTGGCATATGCAACAGAGGGGAAAATCACCAAAGACTGGCAGCCCCTTTGGCAGGAAAGGGTGGAAGAGAATTACAGAAAATGAACTGACCTTAGAGGCAGGAGTCCTGGAGTCTAGGTCTGTCTCTGGCATTGATTTGTAGGACACCTTTGACAAGTCCGTTCTCTTCTCTGGGCCCAGCTGCCTTATTTGCAGAATTGCCTAAGGACCTTGCCTATGCAGACAGTTCATTCAATTACCATTTATTGAGGACTGGCTATGGGACAGTCACTGCTCTAAGTGCTGGGAGTACAGTGAGGAACAAGATAGAAACCTTGTGTTTGAGTCACTCGCATTCAAATGGAGGCTTAAACACAGTAAAGAAGTAAACAAAGAAAAAGACCATCAGAGATAGCAATGAGGACTAAGAGGGCCAAGTGATAGGCAGGGGCACTACCTTACCCAGGAAAGTCTTTTCCAAAGAGCCACAAGTGAGCAAAGATTGAATGATGAAGCCAGGCATGGTGGCTCATGCCTGTAATTCCAGCACTTTGGGAGGCCAAGGTGGGCGGATCACGAGGTCAGGAGTTCAAGACAAGCTTGGCCAACACAGTGAAACCCTGTCTCTACTAAAAATATGAAAAATTACCTGGGCATGGTGGCAGGCGCCTGTAATCCCAGCTACCTGGGAGGCTGAGGCAGGAGAATGGCTTGAACCAGGTAGATGGAGGTTGCAGTGAGCCAAGATCATGCCATTGCACTCCAGCCTGGGCAACAGAGCAAGACTCTGTCTTGGCAAAAAAAAAAGATTGAATGATGATGAGGTGTCCGTAGCAAGATCTGGGGGGATGAGTGTCCCAGGCATAGAGAACAGCAAGTGCAAAGGCCCCAAGACAGGACAAAAGCTTGCTGTGTTTGCAGGGCTGCAAAGAGCTGGAGGACAGTGGGCCCAGGGCAGAGTGAAAGAAGGTGAGGACAGAGGGTGTGCAGGGGTCAGATGATGTGAAGCCTTGTGGGCCACAGGGAGGTGTCTGGAGTTGCCTCTAAGTGGGGTGAGAAGGCTCTGGAGGGTTTACAGTAAGAGTGATCTGATGTGTGTCCACAGGGCCCTCAACCTGCTGTGTGGAGAGTGGGTTGTAGAAGGCAAGGGTCTTGGTTCTTTTTGGCCAAGACCTCCAGATGTCCCAGCCTGAGAAGGCTTGTATGACTTGGGGCAGGAAAGGGAGGGACATTACCACCCTGTATTACTGGGACAGTCCACCAGTCCCTGAGCTCACCATCTATTCAACTCCTGAGCCAGCTGATGGGAAAAACAACATGGAGCTCTGGCCTCAGAAGCCATTCCTTAAATTCCCCACCAAGTTTTCCCAAACATCCCTGGAACTTCCAGATGCCTATTGTAGTCTGCAGATTCATTGGTTGGGTTAATCCAAACTCACCCTGGCATTCCAGGTCCTCCTGGTCTGACCCCTCCAGTCTCCCTTGTAGAGGAGTAGATGAATGGTGACCCCTGGTCTGACCGCTGCAGACGAGTCTGCCCCCAGACTCATCTCCTCCACATTCTCCAGTGTGTTCCCTTTTCTTTCATGCCTCCAAGGGTTTGCTTGTGCTTTTCTCTCCTCGTGAAACACATCCTCCCCCTTCAAGCCAGATCTTTTTTAGGTATCTTCAAGCTCCATCCCAAAATGCACGTCCTCCATGAAAAGACATTTTTCAAAACATATACAAGTGGGCAAAAAACATATGAAAAATGCTTAACATCACTAATCATCAGAGAAATGCAAATTGAAACTATAACGAGATGTCATCTTACACCAATCAGAATGGCTAGTGCTAAAAAGTCAAAAACCAACAGATGATGGTAGGGATGCAGAAAAAGGGGACCACTTACACAGTGTTGGTGGGAATGTAAATCAGTACAACCTCTATGGAAACCAGTATGGAGATTTCTCAAAAAACTGAAAATAGAACTACCCTGTGATCTAGCAATCTCACTACTGAGTATCTACCCAGAGGAAAATAAATTGTGGTATCAAAAAGACACCCGCACACGTATGTTTACTGCAACACTATTCACAACAGCAAAATCATAGAATCAAACTAAGTGTCCATCCATGGAAAATTGGTCTAAAAATGCGATATGTATATATACACACACACAGACAAACACACACACATATACATACCCATCATGGAATGCTGCTCAGCCATGGCAAAGAATAAAATCATGTCTTTTGCAGCAACTTCAAGCTGCAACTAGAGGTCATTATCACATGTCCTACAGCCCACAGATGGGGTCACCACCACTTTAGCTACATAGCATGAGAACAGGGAGGAGCAAGTCTTCCTGGGACAGAGTTCTGACTAAAGCAAAAGCGGAAGCAGCAGCCAAACAGAGAAAAACAACAGCTGGTCAACCACGACGACACTTATAAATGTAGCTCTTCCTGAATTGCTTGAACCCGGGAGGCGGGGGTTGCAGTGAGCTGAGATCATGCTACTGCACTCCAGCCTGGGTGACCGAGTGAGACTCTATCTCAAAAAATATATAATAAATAAATGTAGCTCCTCCTATCTTTTTCTCAGTAAATAGCTCCACCTTGCCATGAAAGGCAAGAACCCATGAGTTTCCTTAATGATTTCCTCTCCTGTCCCGCTATATTGCCAGTTACCAAAGTCTTCCTCCTAAGTATCTCTGCAAGTTCTTCTCCCAGCCCCAATCCACATGGCCCCTGCCCTAGTTCAGGCCACATACCCCATCTGTGGATTAGTTCAACCACCTCTAAACTGCTTTCCTCCTTCCTCCAGAGTGGCCTCTTTAAAGTCCAACTGCAATCACAACTCTTCAGAACCTCCCTTGGGCCTCCCTTTGGCTTGTGAGGCTGTCAGATCTGACTCCTGTTGACATCTATGGCTTCGTCATTTGTCCTTTCCCCACACCCTCCTTCTCTTGTCAGCTTCTCTTGGGATGTGATGAGTTCCCTTGCATGCGGTTCCTTGAGCCTGGAATGCCCTTAGCCTTCTCTTTGCTTGACTTTCAGCACAGGTCCTTCAATGTTTAGCTATCACCTCCCACAGGAAGCCCTCGTTGACTGTCTCTCTGTCCCTACTGCAGCCCACACAGTGTGTCTAATGCCTTTTCCAGGCTCTCATAGTAGGGCTGCCTGCTTGCCTCTATATCTCATCTAAGGTGAGATATTGTTTTTGAAATGTTTGCCTCTGTGTTTTTTTAAGGAAAATGAGATTTTTAAAATTGAGAGTCAATTTGCATATGGTAAAATACACAAATATTAAATGTAAAGCTCAATGAATTTTTGCCTATCTATACATCGGTGTAACCACCCCAAAGATCAAAGTATAGAATTTTTCCAGAACTCCCTTTTCAGTCAGTAACAGTACTCCTCCTTCTTCTCCAGAGGCAACCACTTCTAAAATCACAGATCAATTTTACTAATTATTTAGATAATTCTTCATATGAATAGAATTATATAATGTTTACTTTTCTGTGTTTATAATTATCAAAGTAATGATTTTTACTTTCTTTTATGTTGTGGGCAGTAACAGTTCGTCTACCTCACTGCTGTAGAGTATCCCACAGTATGAATTTATTCAGGCTTCTATTGGTGGATATTTAGGTTGTTTCCAGTTTTGGCTAATATCAACAATGCTGTTCTGATTTATGTACAGTCTTTTGTGGGTATATATTTTCATTCCTCTTGGAGACATGACTTAGAGTGGAATTTCTGGATCATAGGGTAGATTTATGTTTATTAAAGTTGCCAAGGAGTTTTCCAAGGGGTCAGTATCATTTTGCATTCCCACCAGTCACATATGGAGTTCCAGTGGCTCCACATCCTGGCCAACACTTGATGTTGTGTTTTACATTTCGTCCATTCTGGCAGAGACATGGAAGGAGCTCATTGGGGTTAATTTTCATTCTTGATGATTTCTGTTATCCAGGAGACTTACCTCCCCCTATTTTAGGCTATCATCTTGAGACTACTATCCTTTTCTGGCTTTGTAGAAAAAGAAAAACCAGAGTCCTTTCCAGGCTTTTGAGTTTCAAAAGTCTAGCATCTCAGGGGCAACAAGAGGCTCTTGTGCATCGATGAGATAGTCCCTATGGGGAAATGCAAGGGATTTAGGAGCAAGGCTCTGCCCCCCTGAAACTAAATAAGTGTTTTCAGACAAGAATGAGGGAGACAGCTGGAGCAGCCACAAGGGAAGGGGGTAGGGTGCAGGTCCCTGAGGTAGGAGGCACTTGAACCTGTTCCTTCTCTAGACATGGTCCCGAGCTTGGAGACAGACACCAGAGTTCCCAAAGGAGTTTGGGAAAATTAAATGTAGAAAGCACCTGAGCACTTCCTAGGCAGACACTCTAGAGGAGAAATGAATGGGCGCTTAGGGGTGGGCAGAAGAACCTCATATGTCTGCCAGAATTCTCTGTGTCCTGGCAGCCATGGCAGCCGAGCAAAGGTTCCTGTGTACTTGAAAAGGGCCCTGGAAGCAGCTGAGAGAGGGAATGAGACCTAGGAACAAGGGAAAACTCAGCAGTGACCTGTATGGTTGGGTGGCCCCTCCTCAGATAGGAATGAAGATGTCTCAGCACATGCCAACGTGAATAAGTGATGATAAACTCCAAAAGAAAAGGAAAATCTCGACTTGACAAAGATTAAGGTTTCCTCGCATGTGATGGGAGATCTTAGCAGAGACTGAGTTCACTTACCAGGAAACAGTTACCGTTCTCATTCATCTGAGTTTACAGACTGAAATTGGACCACAGTCCCACTTTTCACACTGTACTATGCTTATTTGTTTTCCTTTTCTCTTCTTGAGACTCAAGGGCAGGGATAAGGTCTGATTCTTCCTGGAATCAGCAACCTCCTGACCCAGGGCCTGCCACAGAGTAGGGGCTTGATGAAGATTTGTTAAATACTGTTTGTAAGCCCCTTAAAGAAAGGGAGAGAAAAAGCCACATGGTTGAGCACCAACTACATGTGGAGTCCTGTGCCTTGTAATACACATTGGCTGCTCTATGAGATAGGACTATGAACATCCCACTTTATGAATAAGCACATAACAGCCAATATTTACTCATTTACTAAGCACCCACAATGTGCCATGAAGAGGACAAGGATCTGCCCTCAAGATATTCCAGTTGAGGACAAAGATATCCAAATAAGCTATCTCAGCTGTGATATGAGATCACTATGAAAACAACGATGTGACAAGATTGTGATCCCATTCCAGTTGTTGTAGGAAAAAAAAAAAAAAAGACTGTGGTTTGTCTCTTAATAACTATTCTCTCAATATCATTGTTCTAGGCACTTTACATGTATTAACTCATAAGATCCTCACTACACCCAGATGAAGCTGATATTATTATTATCCCCATTTTACACATGGAGAAACTGATGTGTAGAGTGGTGAAGTGACTTTTTAAATACTATGATGGAATTTAAACCCAGGCTGTTTGATTCTAATGCCCATGTTCCTTATTCCAGCCCTGTTCCCACGCTCCCTGCCTGGTCCACTCTGTTTGAAATTCTCTTCTGGCCAGGTGCGGTGGCTCATGCCTGTAATTCCAGCACCTTGGGAGGCCGAGGTGGACAGATCACAAGGTCAAGTGATCAAGACCATCCTGGCCAACATGGTGAAACTCTGTCTCTACTAAAAATACAAAAATTAGCTGGGCATGGTGGTGCATACCTGTAGTCCCAGCTACTTGAGAGGCTGAAGCAGGAGAAATGCTTGAACCCAGGAGGTAGAGGTTGCAGTGAGCTGAGATTATGCCACTGCACTCCGGCCTGGCAACAGAGTGAGACTCTGTCTAAAAAAAAAAAAAAAAAAAAACTCTCTTCCTTCTCAATGCTGCCCATCTCAGTGATTAACTCTCCACAACCTTCACATCTCCTCTGACTTCCTCAATGCCCAAGAGTGGGAGATGTTCACTCCTCCCTACCTTCACCGCTGTTCCCATAGCACTTTATTTTTAGGATTAATGTAAGTTAGGATTGGGTTTATCGGCATGTAAGAGAACATCCAAAACACCAGTAACATATGCAAGATATGCAAGTGTCTTTATCATGTAAAAAAAAATATATGGAAATAGACAGCCCAGGATTAATATAGCAGTTCCATGGTGTTAGCGACTGAGGTTATTTCAACTTGCTGCTCCATCATCCCAGTACTTGGTTCCTTTCCAAGGTGACACAAGTGTGACTCAAAATGGCTACTGAAGCTCCAGGCATTACATCTACATTCCAAGCAGCAGAAAAAAAGAAAGAAGAGTTTCCTGTTCCCTTTAAAGAGACTTACTAGAAATCCTCACAACATTTCCCCTTAGATCTCCTTGGCCAGAATTTGGTCACGTAGCTACAGCTTGCTACATGGAAGGCTGGGAAATATAATATTTCAGTTGGATATTGAGAGAATAGTTAATAAGAGACAAACCACAGTCCTTTTTTTTTTTTTTTTTTTAGCTACACCAGCTAGAACACGATCACAGTCTTGTCATATCATTATTCTAGCATTGATCTCTATCATAGCTGAGATAGCTTATTTGAATATCTTTATCCTCAACTGGAATATCTTGAGGGCAGATCCTTGTCCTCTTCATCCTCATATCCCAAAGGCTAGCACAAGTTGTAGACACTTGAGATAGAGTGACTAGGTGTTATGTTGCTTTGGATGCTCTGTGGCCAATAGCACAGTTCTCCGCCCACAGCAGGCCTCCGAAAATTGTTCAACTGAAATAAATTTAAATGTTCTTGACCTCAGTTTTCCCATTTGTAACACAGGTATAAATGGCCACAAAAGTCAACCCAGTTTGGATATTCTCCGTATCTATTACATAAAATTTGCAAACTATAGATAAATATTTTTAAAAACTAGCCAGAGATAGACACTGTGTATAGCTTTTGCTTTTTCTCTATTTCTTCTGCATAAACACATGTACATGCTTTGCATATAAATAGAAGCTGTACATGCCATTTTATGATCAGCCTTTTTCACTTAATAACACTGGAAGAGACTTTTGCTTTTGCCTATGAAAAAACTAGCTTGTAAAGAACAATCTTCTCCATAAACAATTAGAAAACCGGGTAGAATTGTTCAAAGAAAATAAAAATCTGTTAGAAGGCATAAAAGAGGTATCCAGGAAGCCAGAACTTGAGGGATCAAGATCTCAGGGTGAAGAGAAATGCATTGAGCAAGGGCCTGACATTCTATGTGCTCTTTTCCATGAATTTGCCAATTCATAAACAGCTAAATGGAGAGACTGAGAAGCTGAGAAGAAACCAAATGCTAGGAAGCAGAGAAGCTGAGCAGAACTTTCATCAGTCCCACAGGGGTGGAAAGACAAACAGAATTTATGCTGAACACATTTCTGAGTCATTACATGTTCTCCTACAGTGTATATGAACATTCACTAAAGCTCAAAGACCGAATCCATACAGAGAATTCCTAAAAAGAACTCCAGAAATAATGAAACCAAACATC